TGCTTGCAGCCCTGCTCCAAAAACATTGGCCCGCTTATGGGGGAAGGGCAATTATGGCAAAAGGCCTGAACACCACCAGGGGAGTTGTGCCCCCCTCCAAGATGTGCCTTCAGCAGATGATAGTCTAGAAATTAAGGCCAGAAGGGACAACCAAATCTCATGCCATGCAGTATGGACACCCAGCGTATCCCACAGTTCACTATGAGCCAAGCCCTAGAGTGGCTATAGCTGGTAAGGGCACTAGGAACCCTGGGATAAGGAGGGGGTCTGCCCCTAGAAAAAGCAGGTCTTACATCATTCAGTACAGACGCATCAGCAATGTTGGGAGGCCCATGCTTACAATGCAGTGTGGATGCTCAAGTATAGGTTTCAGAGCATCCACACAGCCATCCTGGGGGCACAGATACAGGCTTGCTCTGCAGTGTAGCCATAGCACGAAGGCAGAGCGTTCACCCTGGCTGAGCTGTGCGCTGCAAACAGCTACTCTGAGGGCCAGTGTCATCCTGAACCCTGAGAGGTTTGGCATCAGTAGGACATGTGCATGAGTGTGGCTGCTGTTGAATGTGCCTCTGTCTCTGTGTACGAAGCTCATATGTGAGATGGAAGCCACCGGGAGCAGAGATGGAATTTGACTGTTTAGCTAGGGGGAGGGGGGAGTTCTTCCGAATTCCTGTTTTTGTTTTTTCCCAAGTGTGAGTTATGAGACTGACTCTTCTTCATTTCTGGCTGAATTGCCTTTTCTAATGGTTTTAAACTGCAGCTAAAGGCTACCTAATATGTTGAAATATCAGGGATGACAGGTCTGGCTCTTCCATAAACAAAGATGCTCTTCCTGTTTCCTTCATTCTGGTATGCTAAATTGGAATGGTGTGGCTGGAAGAATGTTTTGCATGTGAATGAGACTAATTCACAGCAGCTTGGGATCATATACTTTTATATTGTGCTTGGCTTAAAATACCTTTTTTCTTAGCTGCAGCAATAAGCATGAGCTGATCAAACAAGCTTAGCTCAGACCTGAGGTTTTGCCTTGCAACATGCTGCCACAGCAGCAGCATTCAGTGAAGTCAGCATAGTTGTGATGCCATAGATACGCCTGGAGGAATTCTGCACCACTGTGCAATGCAGAATTGTGCAGAAACTAACATTGTGCGCACAGAATTTTCTTTCTCTGCTGGAGTTGGCATTGCTCAGCTTGCAGGTAGACAGGGGAAGGGGAAGGAAAAAGGAGCTAGAGAGTCCCTGGCAGCTGCAGTTCCCAGCAAGCCCTGAGACAAGGAACAAAATACAGGACTATGTAGCACTTTAAAGACTAACAAGATGGTTTATTAGATGATGAGCTTTCGTGGGCCAGACCCACTTCCTCAGATCAAATAGTGGAAGAAAATGGTCACAACCATATATACCAAAGGATACAATTAAAAAAATGAACACATATGAAAAGGACAAATCAAATTTCAGAACAGAAGGGGGATGCGGGGGGGGGGAGGTAAATGTCTGTGAGCTAATGATATTAGAGGTGATAATTGGGGAAGCTATCTTTGTAATGGGTAAGATAACTAGAGTCTTAACAAAGACTCTCACTCCGAATCCCTGGCTCTGGATGGAGAGGGGCCTGGGTGTCTGGGCTCCGGAGGGAGGGGATGTAGGTGTCTGGGCAAGGGGGGGGGAGAATGGTGCAGCATGTGGGCCAGGGGTGGCACTGTGACTGGGCTCTGGGGTCAAGAGGGATTGTGGGTGTCTGGCCCACTGGCGGGGTGAGGGAGGAATGAGAGGGCAGAGAAACCGGAACTGAGTTGTCATAGGGAGTGTCTTCAACTCTCTTGCACCTAGAGGAATTTTTGTATCTGTCTGTTTGTTGCGGACATACTTGCTAACGGACATTTTGAAATAACTTACCAAAATGATTGAAACTGGCATGGTTAGGTAGTGTTATTTTGACAAATAGTATTTGTAGAGTTTTGCTGGATTTTTCATTTTTGGTGCAGAACGCCCCCAGAAGTACATATAGAGAGACACTAAGGGAGTGGAACCTATTCAGCTTAACAAAGCAAAAGTTAAGGGGAGAGTTGATTGCAGCCTTTAAGTGTTTATATGAGGAACACATTTTTAATAATAGCCTATTCAGTCTAGCAGACAAAGGTGGAAACTGAACAAATTCAGATTGGAAAGAGGTGCAGATTTTTAACAGTGAGGATAATTAACCATTGGGACAGTTTATCAAGGATTGTGGTGGATAACTTTTAAATTAAGATGGGACGTTTTTGTAAAAAGATCATCTCGAGGACTGATTTGGGGGCAGGTCTATGTCCTGTCTTATCTAGGAGATCAGACTAAATGGTCACAGTGGTCCCTTGTGGCTTTGGAGTCTGTGAACCTATGTGTGGGGAGTACAGTCTGGCGCTTTCTCCGCACTGCTCTTACTCTCCTCCCTTCTGTCCTCCGTGCATTTGTTTTGAAGCTGGAAGTCTGCGTAACACTGGGTTCTAATGACTGCTCTGATGAACCAGTGTAGCATTGTGTAGCAATAAAATGTTGGCATCCTGGATGCCTGACTGAATCTTTTATGCAATCGCCTTTAGCTTTTGCATAACATTTCAAGCCACTTTTGTTAAGACTGCTTTTCCTTAATCCTTTGTCTGATTTTTTTTTTAAATGATCTGGCCTCGTGATTGGGAAAGCAACTGCTAAGATTAGGTTATTTTTCAGTGTAAGATTCTTGTGATTTTTTTTTTATTATTATTATTATTATTATTATTTTAAAGTAGCTCTAACATCTCAGTTGTTTGCAGCAAGCTTTCTGACTTTGGCAAGGAGAGAGGCCGGAGCAAGTGCCTATAGTCTGTCTCATGAAATTCTGTTCAGGATTGAAAGAAAGATGCACTTTTGAAAATTGTCATTTCCCTTCTCCTTCTTGCATTGTCATAAAATATTGTGAGTCTGCCATAACTCTAACTAAACATGAGTTCATGTAAGGTAATAACCACGCTGCTACCATCCTCACACAGCACACTATGCTGGAAAACCTGGGAACAGCCTTTCTGGGGGAGAGAGAAAAGGTGATGGACACTTCCTGTCCATCTCCCCAACCCTAAACAAACCCCAGTGGCCAGTCCCATCCCTCTCCCGGATGATCATCCACTGTAAGCGAATGCAATTAGTTCTGTAGCGCAGGCAGGGCTGGTCAGAGTTCAAGCCCTGCTGATGATGCACAGTGGAGCTATTAGAAATGCAACAAATAGAATTTTTTTCCTTTTTCCCTTTTAAAAAGCCCAAGGAAATGACCTATACTTTTAAAAAATAGTACCTTCTAGACCTAACAGTTATCTAACTGTTATGGTCTAGAATAGACAATATTGGATCCTGCCGTGAGGGCAGAGGACTGGACTCGATGACCTCACGAGATCCCTTCCAGTCCTAGTGGTCTATGTTCTATGCTTCTGTGATTTAGGATGCACAGCTAGGAGATGCCAGAATTCAGGTTGCCTTGCAATCTTAATTCGGCCTCCTGTGCTTGTGCATTATGGTGGTCTTCAATTACATGATTACGTAGGATTCTTGTTACTTTCAAGTACTTGTCTTTGTACCTTAATAGCATCTTTTAGTGTGTGTTTTATATATAAAACTGTATGTATTCGGAGAGAAAAATGAATAGCAAACTCCCCACCTTGGCTTTTGGACTTCCCCCAGTGACGTTCTTATTATTTTACTTCTGCAATATGCTGCTTTCTCAAAGAGCTCAGGAGTGCAGATTTTTCAAATATCCTGATGTTAGCTATCTAAAACCATATTTAGTCACCTGAATAAGTGGTCTAATTTTCAAAAGTATGGGATACCCAGCACCTCCCAATGAGGTTCTGTGGTCTCCATCCACCTCCGTTTCTTCCGTTTGGTGGCACTGTTTAGACATCCAGACCTTTGTTGTTTGCCCAGGGAAACTCCTCTGGCTTGTTAATCAAATACCTGTTGGCATACTGACGTCAGGGGGGAATCTTTCCATTAAATTCAGTGAGATTTGGCTTAGGCCATCAGTGCAGGAGTGGGAGAAGCATTGGGGGGATGTCTACGTGAAAGGGGGAGCACCATTTTGTGTTATATGCTGAACTTACGCCTAGTCCGGCCCAGCCAAGGTTGGACTACCTCCATGGAGCATATGATGCAGAAAGGGGGAGACTCATTTAAAGAGGGTGTGCTCTCTGAGCGGCACAGGGTGGAGGGCTGTCACCACATCAGCAGGAGAGAGGGTGCAAAAGCCCATACCCAGCCTGAAATGTTGAGAAACCTTCAACTCACAGAAGGGGCACAGAGTTCAAGGCTGTCTCTCAGGACTTCTGTTGTTTTGAAGAGATCAGTACCTATTCATGCGTTCAAGAGTAAAGTGACTGGTTAAGAAATTCCTTCGCTAACTCTGCGTTCCTTGATGTGCTGCCCCATTGTCCCTGCAGGGGTTGAACTAGAAGCCAGTGCAATCATATCAAGGTGGCACTCTGAAGGAATGTATGTAAGTGATGTGAGGACTTAGGAGGTCTGAGGCACTGGGAAGGGCTCAAAGGTTCTGTCGGACAGAGCCAGAATCTTTATCCAGACCCAGTTGACATGGAAACACATGCAAACTATCAGCTAGGTCCACTTAGAACAGACTGGTGTCTGTGCAGAGGGGTACTGGGCCTGGTGGTAACATAGGTAGTGAACACAGGCCTTTCCTGGAAGGCCAGCCCTTTGCCAGCTGGTTGAGTTTTCCAGAAAAAACTAATGGTGGGTAACTGACTAGAAAGGAGAGTTAACAAGGACCATCCCATTGATGATGTGCAGTGAGTTAAGTTTCAAAGGTAACAAATGTTGTCGTTGATTAATTTCAGTAATCCTTCATCAAATGTCATTGGGCCTCCAGTTTTCTAGTTAAACTCATTATCGGGTCTTCTCCAGAAAGGAGCACACAACAGAAATACCGTACAGTAGTAATTAAGGAAAGAAAAAAAAAATCTCATTTTCTCTTGTTCCAGGTGCTGGAGCCATCTGAATTGTGTATCTTTAGTTCTCTAAGCACCGCATCAGACTACCTGCTTCATGCACATGCATGGCACCATGGCCAGTCCTCAGGAGCACCTGAGCTGGCCTTCCTCTACAAACTTGGTCACCAAAACTTTCAGTGAAGACAAGGACTTCAGTGGAATACTTGGTGATCGTGCACCCACCGGAAACCATCCTTCACCTGAGATCATAGAGGATGTGCTAGAGAAGGGCTTGCTTCAGGCAGATCTCGTAGAAAATGTGGGCAGTCCAGGAACCACAGCAGTGCTGACCAGTGTCAGTGAGGACTCGAGGGATCATTTTGAGAACAGTGTGCTGCAGCTGAGAGAACAGGATGACGCTGAAACACCTGTGCCTCAGGGTAACAGTAACACGATGGCTGGAGAGAATAACGGTGGGACAGATGACATTAAAATCCAATTCAACAGATCAGGCAGTGGGAGCAGTGGGTTTCTTGAAGGACTTTTTGGTTGTTTGAGACCTGTATGGAACATCATAGGGAAAGCCTATTCCACTGACTACAAACTGCAGCAGCAAGGTAAGCTGGTGGCACAGAAATGCTTCCCTTGATTTATTTTAAAGTGAAGTTTGTGAAGCTGAGGATGCTCAAAGCAGTGAAATCCCTTTCCCAGCTTTCCACACAGCATGATGCTCGGGCTTACACAGAAAACAATCAGTCAGTCATTCCATACTGAGCCACAAGCACAGAAATATATAAGCCAGCAATGGAAAAGAGCAGGTACATGATCTCCTCCATCCCCTGAACTAGGAGGTGGCAGACTTTGAAATTCAGACAATTATTTCAATTAAATTAGTCAGGACTAGAGAAATCTATGGGGACCCTCAGGAATATAATCAAACTAAGTGATTGGGCAGCCTATGGCAGATGAAAAATAATGTTGGTAAATGCAAGGTAAGGTAAAGTGAAGGAATAGTTGGTACTGCGCACAGACCTTCCACCATACGATCTTAACACAGTATGTTCCTGGTGTAACTCTTACGCTGTACTTAACGTATCTTGCTTTGTGTTTGAGTTTTCCAAGTGATGTGTTAGGTAACCTTAGTTGTTGTCACTTAGCAACCTTACCTGGATTTTTAAACAGTTTTTATACTCTGCCCATCCTTGGCTCCATATGTATTACCTTCCCTTCTATGCTGCATTTTATCCCATTTAATAAATATGAGTAAAGGGCTAGAAAATATGATCTGAGAGGAAAGATTGAAAAAATTGGGTTTGTTTAGTCTGGATAAGAGAAGACTGGGGGAGGCAGGAGAGAAGATGCTAACTGTTTTCAGGCACATAAAAGGTGGTTACAAAGTGGAGGGTGAAAAAATATTCCTCTTTACCCTTGAGAATAGGATAAGAAGTAATAGGCTTAAATTGCAGAAGGGAGGTTTTGGTGCGAATCAGGAAAAACTTCCTGTCAAAGTAGTTAAGCATTGGAACAAATTGCCTAGGGAGTTTATGGAATCTGTTATTGGAGGCTTTTAAGACCAGGTTAGACAAAACACCTGCCAGGAACGGTCTAGTTATTGCTTAGCCTTGTCTTTAGTGCAGGGGACTGGACTAGGTGACTTGATGATGTCCTTCCCACTCCTACATTCCTGTGATTCAGTGATTTTTTTTTTCTTTTCTGTAGAAAAACCCTTCCATTTGTTTTGGCCCATGTGGATTTTAAACATTTCCTTTTGCTAGAATATTTAAACTGTCTGTAGTTATATGTTTAATGTTGTACTGCCCCCTCCTCCTCCTCTCCCTGAATTTCACTGAAGAGGGGATGCTCTTCAAACCATCTAAGTAAGTCTTGAGTGTATTAACTTCCTGTATTGCCTCAGCAGTTCACCAAGGTGATGAATGTGTGATTTGGCTAGCTGATGAAAAGGTCAATGGTTGGGGGGGGGGGTCATAAGAGATGACAAAAGAGTTGACAGTTGCTGTCTCTAGTATGACCTTGCAGCAGAGCACTGCATGAAGTTGGAATTTTTCAAGCTATGTGCCTTGTTTGTGTGTTCCCAGACACATGGGAAGTTCCGTTTGAGGAGATCTCAGAGCTGCAGTGGTTGGGCAGCGGAGCGCAGGGAGCTGTCTTCTTAGGCAAATTCCGAGCAGAAGAGGTGGCAATCAAGAAAGTGAGAGAACAAAATGAAACGGACATCAAGCACTTGCGGAAGCTGAAGCATCCTAACATCATCGCCTTCAAGTAGGTCATGATTTTGGTTATCTTGATAATTACTCGAAAAGAATCATTTGTTTTTTCCAAGAGAGGCATCATTAGCCATCGCGTCCGGGTCCATTGGTGAGTTCTGAGTACTGGAATTACCTTCTGGTTTGTCCAGTTTTCTGTGGTTAAAACTGGAAACTTATTCTGCCCCTCTTCTCACGAACAGGCCTGTAGTGTTGTGGTCACAGTGTGTGACGTGGTGTGCAGCGTTCCAACCCAGAGGTGCCGTAGAGACACTCAGACACGAGAATAGTCCTGTGAACGTAACACATCTACTGGTGAGGGAAAGGCCGAGGAAACTAGCCCCGGCCACAGACATTTCCCTCCTGCACAAAGCCTTGTCCTGTCCTGTCCATTGGAGAGAGCCTCGCTATTGGGTAGAACAGTGGGTCCCAACTTTTTTTATGCTGCAGACCGACAAACCCCTTCACAAACTTTTGGTGGACCAGCAACATTTTATTTGCATATTCACTATGAAAATAATGAATATGCAAATGTTGCCTGTCTGCCGTGCTCCAACCCAGCCCCTTGCTTCCCAGTGCCTAACACCCTTTGATCCCTCTAGCCCTGTGCCCTTTGACCCTTAAAACTCTGACCTCTACAGCTGATGCTAACACCCTCTTGCTCTGTGACCCCACCAGCATCTCACCCAATACCCCTTTGCCCCACCCCCCACTCTCCCCAGAGCGAGGCTACCCCCAGGGAGCGTGGCTCTTACTGCTTTGCGGGCAGGGGGAGCAGCTGTTGGTGGCATGCACACTCCCTCCTCCTTCACAACCCCGACCCCATGAGTAGAAAGGGGGAGTGCAGAGCTGGGGTCGGCTGCCATTACCGAGGGGGGGGAGAGGCACCTCCTGCTCCTCCACCTCCTGCTGTGGGGACAGGGGAAGGGGCCATTGGTGGCATGCGCGCTCCTCCCTCCCCAAGCATATCATGTACCCCCCATGGGTAGAAGTGGGGGAGCGCAGAGCCCCAGCCAACCGCCATTACCGAGGGGGGAGGGAGGCACCGCCTGCTGCTGCCCCAGCATTGCTGCTGGCAAAAGCGGCCATGCAGGCAGGGGGAACAACTGTGAGAAGCGCTTGCTGCTCCTTTGCGCCCTCTCCCTCCCCAAGCGCGGAGGAGGGAAGAGGAGGAAGGAAGGCACTTCCTGCTATGGCACTGAGCCACTGTGGCAACCTAGCAGCCAGCGATTTGCAGACCGGCACCAGTCTGCGGACTGGTGGTTGGGAACCGCTGGGGTAGAAAGAGGGCAATGAGTAGCGCTGTAGTCAGGCAGAGTCAACAGAGCTGGACAGAAGAGCAACTTCTCTCCCCCTTGATTACAAGTTCCTCCTTAGACTATGCTCCATGGACTTCAGCTGTATGCAGTGAAGCTAGTTAAAACTGATGGTAAGAACCATGAACATAGAGGGTGTGTCTAGACTACATGCCTCCGTCGACGGAGGCATGTAGATTAGCCAGATCAGCAGAGGGAAATGAAGCCGCGATTAAAATAATCGCGGCTTCATTTAAATTTAAATGGCTGCCCCGCTCTGCCGATCAGCTGTTTGTCGGCAGATCGGGGCAGTCTGGACGCGACGCGCCGACAAAGAAGCCTTTCTTGATCGGCACTGGTAAACCTGGTTTCACGAGGCATACCTGTGCCGATCAAGAAAGGCTTCTTTGTCGGCGCGGCGCGTCCAGACTGCCCCGATCTGCCGACAAACAGCTGATCGGCAGAGCGGGGCAGCCATTTAAATTTAAATGAAGCCACGATTATTTTAATCGCGGCTTCATTTCCCTCTGCCGATCTGGCTAATCTACATGCCTCTGTCGATGGAGGCATGTAGTTTAGACGTACCCTAAGAGAACAGGAATAGCTTAAGGTGTATGGTGGACAGCAACAACTACGAGTATGAAATGCAGCTTTCCAACTGGCAGCAGTCCATGGGTGCTCACTGAGCATCTGGCTGGGGTGATGCCTCACCCATGGGGCATGCAAGTCAATCCTTGTCTACATGACACGCACAAGAACAGCTGGCACCTTACACCCTGTTCCGTAGTCATAACTCCTGTCTGGGAGTAAACAAAGAAAAATCTACTATACTCCTTATTCAGGTTTTTAAATTCCCAGGGACCATCAAGGATTCCTCCAAGGCGTAGCTTCCCTGCATCAGGACAAGTGCAGGGTCTCATTCTGGCAGCAGATCTGGGCAAGTCGAATTTGCAAGCCTGTGAAGTGTGACTGGAGAGGGGTGCGAGATTTGTGCTTTCCTCAGCAGGCTGAGGACTCTCTCTAGTTTACATATGCCAGAGAATGTCTTAAAGGACACAACCTTTTTTCCAACCTGCTGCTTAGTTAAACTTTGACTCTTCAAGGTACTCTGTGTTAGGCAAGTAACCCAGGAAAGTCTGACAACTCAGGGCAACTTGCATCCTGTTTTGTACAGGAGGGTTTCTATGAGATGAGCTTTGCAGCAACGGGAGGATTTCCATGCTGATGTGTTGCATGCTAGGTCAGGGTGTGACTGATGCACTAATGAGGCGTGTGCTGTGCTGGGCCCATCCATCTGCCAGTATACTATAATCAGCAGCACGTAGGGGGATTGGAAATGCTGCTTTCTTGGGAAGAGAATTAAGGTATTCTCTCACTTCATTCAGCCTGGGCTGGCAGCATGGCATATGGCTCCTTCCTAAAGCCAGCATCTTACTGCTTCCCTCCAACAATGTATTTTCTGCAAAGGCAGAATTTTGCCATTAACCAGGTCTGAGTTCATGTTACTGCAGAACATAAAGGCGAGCGCTCCCACAGTGCTTTCAGTCCCAACAGCCCCGTTCTCTTAGAGGTCTAGACTGAATTGTACTTGAACTAACAATAAAAGCTCCCCAGAGCAGGCATAAAACTAGACTCTGCATGAAGCAAAACCAGGTCTTGCAGACCTGTGGTGTACTCAAGTAATTTATTTCTGGTGTTACTTACTGGGTATGATTGATCTGTTCACTGCTGTACAAAACACGGACACCCTCCATGCCCTAACAAACCATATATTGCAGGCAAATAATCTGATTAGATTTTACTCCTAACCCCGTTTGTTATCTAAGTGATGCCTGCAGATATTTCCCAGCCTAATTTAAATTTTGCTGCAAGAGGATTTTTGAACAGTACTAAAGTATATGGTGGGTAGAAATGATTTCCTTACGGTAAGGATAGCAAGAATTTGGCTCCAAATGGAGTGGGGATGAACCCTTATTCTGTTAACTTGGCTGAATACTAATAC